ACCGCCAACAGGAATATGAAACGAGAAATAGCCGTGAGAATATCCTCGAACAGTTGAAGCCGCTTAGACCGGGCGGCCAACCGAGACTGGAGGAATTCTAAAACAGAGACTAAATCAGTAGAAAAGGGATCAAGAATCCCCTGTTGACACACCAGCCAATAACAGGCCCATCTATCCTCATATTGAACGCTTGTCGAATCCCCTCCGCTGGCCAGAATTGTGTCTGCAACTGGTGAAGGAATTCCGCCGCACGGAGGCGATCCCTGACAGCGGCAAAGCCACCCACTGAATCCTGGGATTCGGTGGGCCCGCTCTGGGATAGGAGGTCCGGGTCGAAAAGGTAATAGAACAGGAGGCTGAGCCAGAAACCTGAGAATTACCGAAACCAGCGCAGCCGACCAAAGGTGCCAGAAGCACAAGTAGCCGAGCTGGTTGTGCGGTCAGCTGTGACAGGACCCTGGAAATCAGTGGTATCAGGGGAACGCTTCACAGTACCCTGTCCGTCCAATCGAGCTGAAAGGCGCCGTTATTAACGCCCCGATCCGAACTGAGCAAAACACAGGAATCTGGTTCGTCACCCCAGACGCAAAACAGATCCACCTGGAAATCGACCCAAACAACTGGGAGATAATCCCCGAATATCTCCCGGTCGAAAGCATCCACTGCAGGGGACTAGTATACCGGAAAGTGCATCTGCACGGACGCTGTCTACCCCGGAGATAAACAGGCAAAACCCGAATGCTGAACTGATCGCACCACAGTAGAAACTGCCACGCCCTGAAGGAGCCGACGGAGACACTGTGCCGCCTTTGCTTGAGAATGTAAGACATGGCCGCTTGATTGTCCATTTCTAGACGAACCACACGGCCCTGCACCAACACCCGAAGCACTCAACACCCCGCGGACTGCTCTCAGTTCTAACACATTGATGTGTAGGTTGATTCCCCGGCCCCACCAGAGGCCGGAGGCTGAGTGCTCGCCCAGGACCCCCTGTGAGGGAGGCGTCCGCCTGAACTGAGAGGGAAGGTGTCGGGTGTCGAGGGGATCCCCTGACAAATTCCCACGCCCGGCCCACCATCGCAAGTGAGGAATTAACCACTGGGCGCTAGTGAGAATAATCTCGTAGCTCTGCGAAAGTGGGACCACAGCTGAGCTAACGCTTGCTGAACTGGTCGCGATCCTCAGACGCCAAGCACGCCAAACCACGCCCACTGTCGCCGCCATGTTGCCTAGCAACCGGCCATGTTCGGGCTGACGATTGGGCTTACTGGAGAAACTGTGTAACACAGTCCTCTGACTTTGACGATAAGCGTCCGGAGCAAGGGAAACAATCCCTAGCTCCGTGTTGAATCTGGCCCCCAAGAAAATCAGATCCTGCGTCGGAACGAGGTCTGATTTCTTGAGGTTGATAATCCAGCCCAGTGACACCAGAGTATCCATCACGCACAGTGTGGAGGCTCTGCTTAACTGAGGACCTAAGGCCCTGAGAAGCCAATCGTCCAGGTACGGGTGACAACACCTGCCCTGAGACCTGGCTAACTGAGCTGGGATTAGCATAAGTTTGGTGAACACCCTTGGCGCCGTGGAGATGCCGAAGAGGAGCACACGAAACTGGTAGCACGCCCCGGGGTGCATTGGAACATGGAGGTATGCGTCTTTGAGATCGATTGACGAAGCCAATCCCCTGTCTCGACGGAGGAGATCACTGACCTGAGTGTCTCCATCCTGAAAGACGGCACCTCCAGTAACTGGTTCAACCCTCTGAGATTCAGAATGGGTCTGAACCCTCCGTCCTTTTTGGTCACTAGGAAGTAGGTGGAATAAAACCCCTCTCCTTGCTGACCCACAGGAACCACCTCGATGGCTGCCTTGTTCAGTAAGGACTGAACTTCGGCACGGAGCGCGTTCGCCTTGTCGCGGGAGGTCGGCACAGGCGTATGCCGAACCCCGGAGAAGGACGGAGGATCTCGGCCCACTGTGGCAAATGGCCATCCCTGAGCGCGGGACAGGACCCAGGGATTTGAGGTGGCTGCCTCCCACCTCCCGGAGGAATAGGGACAACCGCGCGACAGGGACGCGTGGCATGAGGCAGTGCACCCCCACAGTCGGCAAGTCTCCGCTTGCATGAGTGGGGGGCAATAAGGGCTCTGGGGAAGTAATCAGCGGGAAGCCGGGCTGGCTTCCCCTGCCCCGGAAAAAGGCTGCTGCGCGCTTTGAGCAGGCCTGCCCTTGCTCTCAAAGGCGCCTCGTTCGCTTTGACTGCAAAGGGCAGTCCACTTTGCAGCGCCCTTCGCCGGGCAGAAGGATAAGCGAAGCGAAGCGGGAAGGCCGGTGGCGCAGGAGCGGAGGGCTGTTCCAAAGGCTTAGAGGCTTTGAAGGTAGAAACTGCCTCCGCTGGCCTCCCCGCACAACCTGCAATGCCCCAGGGAACAGGGAGGACCCCATGGTATAAGGTAATGACAGGAGCGCCTTCGTTGCGCGGGTCGGGTGAATACCGCCCACGGACAACCACAGGCGGCGCAAGCTCCATCACGGCATCTATCATCTGGCTGGCACAGCACCAATGCTATCCCCGGTGCCAGATGAGAGTGTACCCCTCGCGAGCTGTTGTGCGAGCACCGGCGCCGACAAGTCGGCGTCACAAGCGCTCTGATCCACCAGCTGTCCCTGCAGAGCAGACAGGTAGGCTGAGTGGACTGCCACTTTTACTTGCTGGGCTGCGCACCGGTAGCACTCCTTGAAGGACCAGTACGCAGACTTCAGCGTAAGTGCATTAGTAGGAAAAGGGGGGAGGCGCCTGCCCTGCCTGGCCGAGGCCAGGGAAGACGAGGACGACCCCCCTAGAGTGATGGACGCAAAGACGCACTCGTCCACCACTGGCGGCTCGAACAGTGCCTCCTCTCCCAACTGGTACCGCTTGCCGACGTCGGGCAAATCAAACTGAGAGCGGGCACCAGTCAAGAGAGGATTGATCACCTCACTCACCAGTGATGGCAGAATGCGGAGGCGTGCCTCGGCGACCCGGCTAGGCGCGAAAGCCTCCCCCGGGAGCCGAAACTCCGCGGGGTTGGGCGCCTGTACGGTAACGGCCACCTGGGGCAGGGCTTCGGCGATCTTATCCCGAACCTGCCACAGAGACGAGCCAAAGGAGTATGGAACTCCCGCCTCCGACTCCTCCCTCCCTCCATCATCCTCCATATCCACCTCGGCACAATCCTCGGCCGCCGTACTCTCATACTCCTGAGAGACCGCCGAGGATACGCCAGAGGCTGAACCAGAAAGACTATAAAGGTCAAGAGGCGCCAGAGGAAACGAGTCGCCCTGCCGGGTGGAACCCGCGCCAGGTCACCGAGGCGCCCGAGAGGAACCTGCCGCAACAGGCTTCCCGGTAACCCAGACTGGCTGCCAGGCGCCGAGGTATCCCCGAGCTGGTCGGCGCCGAGGCGACCGCCAGTCAGGGCACCAGGCGAAGACAGGGGCAACCCTGCATCGCCGGCGCCAGGCACCTGTGACAGACCTGAGCATGAAGCTATGCCGCCACCAGGTGCCGAGGGCGCGCTATCCCCACGGCCGAAGCCGGGATCAAGCTGCCCGGGGGGAGGCGCTGCCGGGCTCAGGCCGCAGCCACCCCCAGATGTGTCAGATCCACTCTCGACGACCGGGCGCCATGAGCTCCTTACAGAACCCAGCCAACGCCGTATCGATCAGGGATTTCACTGACGACATCTGTTCCTGAAACAAAGCGGTTAAAGAGTCAACAGGTACAACAGGTGCCGACACAACAGGGGGGGTGACAGATACAGGAGCAGGTTGAGAAATAGATGTATTAGTTTTCTCCAACGGCCTCCTTGGAACCCTTAGCTCTTTGGGAGCCGGCTCAGATGGGAAGCTGCCCCGTGAGACCCCTTTTTGTGTGAACGCTTGGACGGGGATCCTGAGCCCAGATATCACCCCAGCCAAGCAGGTTGCTGTAAAACAGCCGGTCCACCTGCCGTGGCCTTAATAGTTTGAGGCGAAAATGGCACACGCCGACACCCCTCTTCCTCATGATCAGTTTGGATGAGGCAACGAAACACACCTCGCGTGCGTGTCCCTGACGGGAATGGCGGCGAGGCACGAAGTACAGGATTTAAACTGCAACAAGTAAAAAACCTGTGCAGCAATCAACCCCATACACACATACATATATGAAAAAACACGCATGGGCGACACAACTAATGCGACAACGTAGCATACAGTTGACAATAATCATAATACGCACTGCAACATAACTAACAATTACGACTTTTAGCGTAAGATAGAAAATGCTAGCAGCGGAAACGCCCTACATGTAACAACATATAAATAAAAAATACTAAAACCACCTGTAACATTGAAAAACCACACGGGAAACCAATGAACAGTGAGGCTAGCGAAGGGACCTGTCCGCCATCTTGACACGCACCCGGCGAGCCGACCGCGACAGGTACCAAGTTACAACTAGAAATTATGAATGAAAAAGTTCAGAACAAGCCTCCAAATCGCCCATGCAGGGAAAAAAGAGAACCATACATACAGTTGCTGTTTCTGACACACTCATAATTTTGCGCAGGGAAAAGAAACCTTCTTGAATGGACCCACGTCTTGCCGGTAAACGACAGCATGGAAAGTGAGGTACGAGGTTACGGTCTAGAGTTACCTGCTCTTGGCTGTAGGGGGCCGGAGGGCCCTGTAAGGGTGGTCTCACAAGACAAAACGTAGTTTTTGTTTTGTAAATATGTTTATTCAAATATTGTTACAACTGTCGTAGGGAATTTAAATGGACATTTAAATGCTTATAAGTACCCCAAGGAGGAATATATAAAAAAGAATTGTACATATTTGTGTTGGTTTATCGAGACACTATCAAAAGAGCCAGCTTAATGACATGAAACAGGCCATGCAGTCTAAGCAAGCTATGTAAATCAGACACACAGTCACTTCCCCTAATCTGTTACTTCAGAGATTTTTCCAGAAATTACCCCTGCTAAATGCTCCGCACCAACATCTGTGATTCTGTTGCCAGCCAGGTTGAGAGACAAGAGCTTTGTGTTGAAGCGTTTGGCAGTACCCAGAGCCTTGCCAATGCCCTCGGCAGCTTCATCAGAGACGGCACAATGTTGGAGTGAGAGAAGCTGAACACTGAAAGGAGTGAGTGAGTGGGTGAGCTTGGCTGAATGATTGATAAACTAAATTCAGAAATATAACAGTTTATCTAATTATGTGAGAGACCTCTTACAAGTTTCGATACCAAAAGGTAATCAAGGTACAGTGATGATGAAGAGGAGGAAGAAGAGGAGATGGAAGAAGATGAGGGAGGAAGAGAAGAAAAAAAGGAGGAAGAGAGGAGGAAGAGGAGAAGGAGGAAGAGGGAGGAGGACAAGGAAAGTTCCTCTACAGGTGCTATGTCTCCTCCCTGCACCTCACCCTAATGCATACACCCTCACCTGCTGTCATCATCCACCAACAGATGCCAGTTCTCTTCACCTTCCTGTATACAGTTGCCATCCAGGACCAGGTTCCTGCAACAGACAATTTCATCTACAGTCCCACATCCATCATATCCAGCACTGACAGGATCATTATCACATGTAGGTCTGTGCAGAGACCATATAATAGAGGGACGGCCCTCCCCAACAGTTTATCACTAACCATCAGCGCTACGGAACTGGCATGTAACTGATGCACATCGACACCCTGCTGCTAACTTCCTTCCACCGGTACACATGCTCAACAGATGCGCAGACATTCGCAAATGAGCACTCTGGTAACCACGTAAACAATATTGCGTAATATCCAGGCCGAGAGTTAATTCCCTTAGCGGGATTTCACCAGCTGCGTTTGACAGTTAAACATTACATGGACAGCTCCAACAAACTGATTACAATAATCTTAATTTGTATCTTATCTCTCATTTGCACACATTTGTCAACTGACAACATCGCAGAACATGTATCATTCGCGAAATGCGTGTCGTCATAAGCCTGGAATATTTGTTTCAACATTCGGCATGGCCATGGACGACTTAATTCATTCACTGGGATGATTGCGACTTGGACCTCGATACTTACTTGGAGAATTTACAGACTACGAAAGGACAGAGAATATAAACCAAAAATACAAAAATCAAACTAACCCAGTCAGGTAAAGGCAGTTTTAACATTACAGTTGCCAATATCCCCGATGCTCGCCAAACGTATCATCACATGGCTAATCTCAAGATTTACTTGCAAGTATTCGTTGACACAAAACGAGGGTGTGGTCAAGCAGTCGATGAAAGTAAAAATTCCCGCAAATTTATAAAGAATGTGCAGATTTGCAAGCGTTAGCCAATCAGAGGACTTGCTTCGACCACACCCCTGTTGTGTGCGGACATGTCATCCATTTGTGTCAAGATCGTTTAGTTGAGAGTCAAAATCGGTTTTCAATCGACTTGCAGAAATAACAATAAAGAATTGGTAGGTGTCGTGAGTGTTGCTCGATAGGCCAATCATCCATGATTATGTTTACATAAAGTTTTAATCGATTGCATGTGATGGTAGCGTTGCGATCGGCAACGCAGTCGGGTAGGGTCACCCTAGCAGTGTCCGGCCTTGTCATTATGTATTGTACTGTGAAACATTTCGAGTCGGGGCGTCATCTCAAAAACAATATTTTTAAAATCATGAATCATCGGAAAGACACGAGGGCCTGTGACTGGCTGCATGGTGTTTCACTAAATGACGCTATTATAGTCTCTGATTCTAATTTTATATTAATTCGCATAATTTTTTATTATAACGTTTATAGTCCCAACGAAACATTATCCAAGAGCGTTAATGTTTTTATAATGCCAGTTTGGGGCTAGCAGTGATTATGCTTTGGGCCCTATGGAGACATTTGTTGTTGTTTTCAAAGGGAAGCCACTAAATACTAAAGTCACTTTCCTCCGAGCCCATGAAATATACGTGTTAAATGGGCTGCAGTACATTACCCTATCAATTAAAAAATTTCAGCAAAGTGTCAACTTTAACTTGGCAGGAACATGCAACCAATAACATTAAAACACAACATCACACGTTCTTATATGTACAATGTATTTATTGTAGAATAGGACCATATATCTATATGTACAATCATGTATTACGAAATTCAACCATTTAGATATTCTTTCATTAAAAACACAGTAAATGTGAATTTCAACTGTTGCAAATAAACTCTAAACTGAATTTGAAATTAAAATTATGCAATATTTGGTTGCCAATGTTCTTTCAAACAAGGTATATCTACTTAATCAAGAAGGGAATATTGTACTTAATAGTAGGCTCTTTGAGTAGCCCTTCCGATGAGTGCCGAGTGAGTCGAGGTGAGGTGAGGTGAAATTGGTCTTAACGTCGTGCTTGAGAATATTTCGCTCATATGACGACATGCGTGTGTATGTGTATGGGCGGCTGCTTGTACTAGCCCAGACTTAAGCTGGTGATAAAATAAGGGAAGATGATAACTTTTAAACTTCTTGCAACACAGCCTGCAAAGTTAGGTTGTCCATTTAGGACTGATTGTGAATGTAAAACATAAAATCATACAAATCTGTACACAATCTTAATATAACTTCATTAACAGATATTTTAGATATCCATGAAGTGAACTGTACATTGGATTTTAATTTCCATAATTTCTACTCATGTACTTTATTACATGTTAAATTATTAGGCAGATATTGTTGAAATAGCTACTTTACTTATGCCTGCACCAACTGGAATCAAGTCTGTAAATCTGTCTTCATAACTGCCAACGCAAACATGGTATGTAGACAGTTTTGATAAAAGTTTCTTCATATCTCTTAGAGTGGAGAAAAATGCAGGTAAACCAATTCAGAATTCATGATTTGGGCCAAAGTCACGTCGATGTGCATATATTGCTGCTGTAAAGGATGGCTTGATGACTACTGAAAGCTGGACTGAGCCTACGTCAGTCATAAAACTGCACAATGGTAATGTTTTCACGCTTGTTTCTTGCAATTGTAAAATTGCCTAGCTCATCTACATGCTGAAACAGCTCCTTTTTTAATGTTAAATATTGCTGGTATCGCAGGATGCCATCAACAAATTCATCTACATTGTTGTCCGGATGATACTGGGGAATTGTGTAAAAAAAAAACCAAAGAATTCATCAGCCAAACAACTACATGTATAAGAATCTGTCGCTTCTTCCAGGCATGGGGTATCTGTGGGTTCATCGGTGAGGTCAATGAAGAATGACTTCCATGCTTTGTCCCACAGTGCATCTCTTGAACTGAAAAAAAAGATATACAATATTAATATTAAAAAAAAATTGAAGTGTTCTAAATAGTTGTTAAAATTATGCAATAGTTGGTTGCCAATGTTCTTTCAAACAAGGTCTAGTTACTTACTCAATATGGGAATATTGTACTTAATAATTTACACTATACCGTTGTTTTTACATAAGAAAAGAAACAATATTAATATTTGATTATACAATTGCTTTGATATTTTAAACTTATTTCTGCAGGTACCAGATATACAAATACCAATGAAATAAATAAATACCAATAACTACAAAATATCAACACAAAATTAGTTTAAATTACTCATTTTTTTTCAAAGACATCATTTGTGAATTTCTTACTTCCATTATTACTTACCTGCAATCGTCAAGAACAGTTGATTGAACTGATGAATAAGAATGTCAGAGAGAGAGGAAGAACTGACACCTTGTTGTCTCGGACCCTCTCTGAGCAGCTGTTGAGTAGCCCTTCCCGCGACTGCGGATGAAAACTTTTTTCCTGGGCATCTGCCAAACAAATGATAATATATTATATAAATAGTGTAATGATATAAAGTGTTGATTCATTGTTCCATAAAGTCAGGCTGCTGGTACTGTATAATAATATATAGCAATATAACTCTAACTTCAGTAGGAAGAATAATGATAACAGAAAAATATATGAATTGTTACATGATAAATAAGGACCTTTTCCACAAACATAATCATCAAAATGAACAATAATGGAAATATGTACATTTTTTCAAACGATTAGGTGAATGAGACTTTTGTAGAATGATTTAAATATATATTCGCGTTATATTAACGAACAAAATGAATGTTATGTCGTCTGCTACATGATAATTGAAATGTTCAGTATACGACGCAAATATGGGTTTACGCCAAAAATCATAAAAAATAAAATACCGATCGTAGCCATATAAAAAGTGTACCACGCAAAAGAGGAAATCGCCGTGAATGTTCACATGTTTATTTCAAAAATGCTAGTAATAAGCTGTTCTTGTGAAAGCGTGCGAAAATCAAGTGTTGTGGAGTAAATATTTCGGAAAACATCATATTTTGTCGCATTTCACGAGCCAAAATAAGCAATGACGCGACCGCCACAGACTTATAAATGCCCCTATACCAATCTTTATCTTATTTTCTTTCATTACACCCCGGTAACTAAGGATTTGTATCGAGAATTAGAATCCGTTATTGAAAATCAAAATCGGGACTTTCGCCGATTTTACACCTCCGCCATTGTTCTCACAGAACGACGAGCACACATGGCAGTATTTATCAAATACAAGGACAAATATATGCTTTAGCACCCCTAATACACCGCTAATGCACTGTTGCAAATATAAGTATATGCATGAGAATACATGAAAAAAATCAAATCTTACCTTTGCAATGAAAATACGCGAAATCGATGACTGAAGTCAACACACGTTTTCGCCAGCTTCCGGATAGGCTGCGCAGGGCAAGCCGTAGCGCTGATGGTTTTGCGCACTGGCTAGAGGGCCGTCCCTCTATTATTATGGTCTCTGGTCTGTGGTTGTTTCACGTCAAAGTAAGCAGTATTCTGTGTGTAGCTGTGTGTAGCACTGGGCATGTAAATATCCAGGTCAGACAAACCAGCAGTGGACATAATTAGCAGGATCCCATCTAGGTACGGCTGCACGGAGTCCACCATGCTGCTTATCACAGTCAGGCCGCGATAATCAGAACAGTTCCATAAAGAATGTTTTGGATGATGAAACTGCAGTAGCGTTACTTCCCTTTCACTTGTCTGAGAGAGACGAAAGAACATTGATGTCAAGCTATGACGTCATTCTATTATTTACATGTCACAGTATTGTTGACATAATGTTATTGGTTTGTACCAAAAATAAAATTACTTTTATTGACTAAACCGACATGGTTTGGCTTTTAGAAGCTTCTTTCATTTGGTAATTACATAATAAAACAATATGGACTGGTGAATTCGGTCAGTACCTGTGTTGACTTCATCACCAGTCTATAATTGTATAATATGGCCGCTGTATTTACAGATGGATTAATAAAAGAAAATCAAGAACAATTAACTAATCCATTACCAATAATTGACGTCCGGGGTCGGAGACATCCTCGATAATCTCCAGGGTATACGTTCCGATAAATCTCCACTATACCCTGGATGCGTCTCAGGCTCAAACCAATGATTTTATTACCTCCCTTGGTTGGCTTTTCATCCAATCAGGTGTCAAGCTGAGCATACCAATCACAACTCACTGTCGCTTTTAAATTATCTAACCGTTTAAACTTGTGCAACACAATAATATATTGTTGCAGAGGTGCTCTGAAAGAGGTAGAAGGAGTTCTTGCATATATTTTTTTTAAGATTTCAGACCGGTCAATTTTTCTGTATGTTTTCCCCCCAAATCTGAGTCGCACTGAGAACAAACTTTCGCGGCTGCGATAGCTATCTTTGTTGAAACTGGCAAGCTCGGTTGCGGCAGCAAAGGGAGGTAATAAAATTATCAGCTCGAGCCATAGATGCATCCAGGGTATAGTGGAGACTTATCGAATCTATACCCTGGAGATTATCGAGGATGCGTCAGAGACTGAACCATCGGATTAATGAATCAACAATTGACGTGTTAATATAGTAAACAAGATTGGTAACAGCATGAGTCTAACGCGGCCTGACTGCAGTTAGTTACCTTAACCTATAGCATGCTTGTGCAGTGTTTTAAGTACCCAGGGCATGGGGTAACCATGGGGTTCAAGTGTTCGCTCGTCACGCCGAAGCCCAGGTTCGATTCCCCACATGGTTACAATGTGTGAAGCCCATTTCAGGTGTTCCCTGCTGTGATATTACTGTAATATTGCTAAAGGCGGCATAAAACTAAACTCACTCACTCTAAGTAGCCACTTCAACACATAGCAGTGTGTTGTTCCAAGTCCCGGATCAGTTAATAATAATCCACAGCCCACTTATCAACATGTACACCTACATAAACGGTGGACACACGAACACGTGCGTACACCTAGTTGCGGGTATAGTAACGTGCAGTATCATTGGACAAAACACTGTGACTATGTGTCCCAGTTCACCCAGCTGCAAATGGGTACCTTGTGAGGATGAGGCTGTGTGATAACTCACTGCGCCTAAAAGGCTGCATGAGCTGAATACTCCCCAGGGAGTTGAGTTGGTTAAAAGAATGCCAGAAAAAAAGACATCTGTTGATCAAGGGAACACTCAAGCACCTTGAGCATGTACTAGCTGTGTGGATATGTGCACTAAATAAATATCCTATCAAATATAACAATGTGAAAAATGATTTGGGGCCCACATGTACAGGATCATTTTGTTTATCTCACACTGATTTTAAATAAAACTGTTGTACCTCATGTTGTCTAAATAGATAGGTATGACTCTACATACTTAAGTTACAAATCAAAACAAAACCATTTCAAGTGGAAATACACCTGGGACATGTGTCTAAGAAAGCAGACAAACCAGTGATCAATATAATGAGCAACACACCATGAAATCAGGATACAGTAACACACCATGAAACAATGTACAACATCTATGGTTGCTAGGCAAGAACTGTGCCACCCTGGAACCCTCACAGAGGTGAAACCTGGAAGGAAACAACTTACTTCAGATTCATGCAGAGCGGCATGAAGGACGCCAAGATGGCCACAGTCTCCCCGGTCAGTCCCACCTGCCACAAACTGGGAACAGAAACATATACAGGACACTCACACAAACAAATAATCTCCCCATAAAGAGTTTAACAAATAATGAGAAGAACATGCAAGCAAATACAGTCTTAATAGTGTTCAACAGTCTTAATAGTGTTCAACAGTCTTAATAGTGTTCAACAGTCTTCAATAGTGTTCAACAGTCTTAATATTCTTTTCAGTGTGTTCAACAGTCTTAACAGTGTTCAACAGTCTTGACAGTGTTCAACAGTCTTAACAGTGTTCAACAGTCTTAATAGTGTTCAACAGTCTTAACAGTGTTCAACAGTCTTACAAGTGTTCAACGGTCTTAATAGTGTTCAACAGTCTTAATAGTGTTCAACAGTCTTAATAGTCTTCAACGGTCTTAATAGTGTTCAACAGTCTTAACAGTGTTCAACAGTCTTAAGAGTGTTCAACAGTCTTAACAGTGTTCAACAGTCTTAACAGTGTTCAACAGTCTTAAGAGTGTTCAAAAGTCTTAACAGTGTTCAACAGTCTTAACAGTGTTCAACCGTCTTACTAGTGTTCAACCGTCTTACTAGTGTTCAACAGTCTTGACAGTGTTCAACAGTCTTAATAGTGTTCAACAGTCTTCAATAGTGTTCAACAGTCTTAATAGTGTTCAACAGTCTTAATAGTGTTCAACAGTCTTAACAGTGTTCAACAGTTTTGATAGTGTTCAACCGTCTTACTAGTGTTCAACAGTCTTAATAGTGTTCAACAGTCTTAATAGTGTTCAACCGTCTTACAAGTGTTCAACAGTCTTCAATAGTGTTCAACGAGTCTTGATAGTGTTCAACAGTCTTAACAGTGTTCAACAGTCTTGACAGTGTTCAACAGTCTTAACAGTGTTCAAAAGTCTTAACAGTGTTCAACAGTCTTAATAGTGTTCAACAGTCTTAACAGTGTTCAACAGTCTTACTGTTCAACCGTCTTACTAGTGTTCAACAGTCTTCAATAGTGTTCAACAGTCTTAATAGTGTTCAACAGTCTTAACAGTGTTCAACAGTCTTGACAGTGTTCAACAGTCTTAACAGTGTTCAACAGTCTTGACAGTGTTCAACAGTCTTAACAGTGTTCAACAGTCTTAACAGTGTTCAATCGTTTTACAAGTGTTCAACCGTCTTACTAGTTTTCAACAGTCTTCAATAGTGTTCAACAGTCTTAATAGTGTTCAACAGTCTTAATAGTGTTCAACCATCTTACAAGTGTTCAACAGTCTTCAATAGTGTTCAATGATCTTAATAGTGCTCAACAGTCTTAACAGTGTTCAACAGTCTTGACAGTGTTCAACAGTCTTAACAGTGTTCAACAGTCTTAATAGTGTTCAACAGTCTTAACAGTGTTCAACCGTCTTACAAGTGTTCATCCGTCTTACTAGTGTTCAACAGTCTTCAATAGTGTTCAACAGGCTTAATAGTGTTCAACAGTCTTAATAGTGTTCAACAGTCTTAATAATGTTCAACCGTCTTACAAGTGTTCAACAGTCTTCAATAGTGTTCAACGATCTTAATAGTGTTCAACAGTCTTAACAGTGTTCAACAGTCTTGACAGTGTTCAACAGTCTTAACAGTGTTCAACAGTCTTAATAGTGTTCAACAGTCTTAACAGTGTTCAACAGTCTTACAAGTGTTCAACCGTCTTACTAGTGTTCAACAGTCTTCAATAGTGTTCAACAGTCTTAATAGTGTTCAACAGTCTTAATAGTGTTCAACAGTCTTAATAGTGTTCAACCGTCTTACAAGTGTTCAACAGTCTTCAATAGTGTTCAACGATCTTAATAGTGTTCAACAGTCTTAACAATAACAGTGTTCAACAGTCTTGACAGTGTTCAACAGTCTTAACAGTGTTCAACAGTCTTAATAGTGTTCAACAGTCTTAACAGTGTTCAACCGTCTTACAAGTGTTCAACCGTCTTACTAGTGTTCAACAGTCTTCAATAGTGTTCAACAGGCTTAATAGTGTTCAACAGTCTTAATAGTGTTCAACAGTCTTCATAGTGTTCAACCGTCTTACAAGTGTTCAACAGTCTTCAATAGTGTTCAACGATCTTAATAGTGTTCAACAGTCTTAACAGTGTTCAACAGTCTTGACAGTGTTCAACAGTCTTAACAGTGTTCAACAGTCTTAATAGTGTTCAACAGTCTTAACAGTGTTCAACCGTCTTACAAGTGTTCAACCGTCTTACTAGTGTTCAACAGTCTTCAATAGTGTTCAACAGTCTTAATAGTGTTCAACAGTCTTCAATAGTGTTCAACAGTCTTAATAGTGTTCAACAGTCTTAATAGTGTTCAACAGTCTTAATAGTGTTCAACAGTAAGCCTGGAAGAGCTATAATGCTGATATGAAAGACATAAGATAACATTTCCAAGATTCATATACCAACACAGAATCAATGGAATTACATTCAAACCAGCTTACTTACTTTGTACATAAAGTTTAGGGGGGACATGCTTCTCCACAAAAATAACAATCACAGCCCCCCTTAGCCATAAATTATGAATGGTCCTTTAGTCACCAGCTCCATGGTGACAGCTATTTGATAACACATTTTCCAATTTCAGTAAAATGTTTAAATAACCAACTCACTTGATTGTATGTAGCCTCTCCATGGCCGGCCAGCACTGTTTGAATATGTTCATCATACACTCGTCAACCTTCCAACCTGGAAACAGAAACCATGGGTTACTTCCCTTGTCCCATGCAGCCTCCTTCATACACACCCTGCATTAGAGCTTGCTAACATGACATCTACTGACGGGCTACTCTCCCCATCAACTGTACATACAGCCTGTTATTTTAGTGTCCATGTATACTAATGAATTCACTCTATTTCCCGGTCATGTTAACATATATGAATGTATATTTCAGTAACAGTGTCCACATATACCCACCACGATTGTATATTTCAGTGACAGTGTCCACATATACCCACCACGGATGTATATTTCAGTGACAGTGTTCACATACACCCACCACAGATGTATATTTCAGTGATAGTGTCCACATATACCCACCACAGATGTATATTTCAGTGAGTGTCCACATATACCCACCACAGATGTATATTTCAGTGACAGTGTCCACATATACCCACCACAGATGTATATTTCAGTGACAGTTTTCACATATACCCACCACAGATGTATATTTCAATGACAGTGTTCACATATACCCACCACAGATGTATATTTCAGTGACATATACCCACCACAGATGTCCACATATACCCACCACAGATGTATATTTCAGTGACAGTGTTCACATATACCCACCACAGATGTATATTTCAGTGACAGTGTCCACATATACCCACCACAGATGTATATTTCAGTGACCACCACAGATGTATATTTCAGTGACAGTGTTCACATATACCCACCACGGATGTATATTTCAATGACCAGTGTCCACATATGACAGTGTCCACACCACCACTTAATGTATATTTCAGTGACAGTGTCCAGCTTGTCAGGGTTGTCCATCTCCACCTGTATCGATGGCTTGAAGTACTCAAACTTGTCCTTCACAGTGTACGTCTTGGGAGGAGGCTCCACTGGCTCTGGTAGCAAGCAATCAGGAATTCAGTGACAGTTACACAACCTTTTTTGTTTGTTTTTTGTACTGCACTTAGCAATATTCCACTCATATCACAGCGGTCCGTAAATATTCGAGTCTGGACCTGACAATCCAGTGATTGGCATCACGAGCAACAATCCATGCAATCAGGACATGATGACATGTGTCAACCAAGTCAGTCTGACCACTCCATGTATTTAGTCGCCTCTTATGACAAGCTGCTGCGGAACAACATCACTACACAGCATCCCTCCATGTCCAGTAAAACATGGCTTTAATATGCTGTTAAATGAATGTTAATAATGTTAACTGAAATGTCATTGTCAGTTGAAATGATGTTGGTTTTATCAACTGGTTTCAATTGGAATTTTTGAAAATGAAAATGAATTAATTGATCATTAAGGCTGATGCCAAAAATTAATAGGAACAAGCTTCTTGTATGATTCAATACATAAAGGCATGATACATGATTCAAACGGAGAAGACCTCATATTCGATTCAACAGATGTAAACCTCAAGGACACCCTTAGTTTTGAACACTGTGTACTTAATAACACATCATATTCAACCCTTATTTGAGGACTGGTAGTTTAAAGGTATAAAAAAGGAAAAAGCAACAACACAATATGATCATAAATATATGAAATAAGATTTAAATAAGACTTTATAAAATAATTAAATGACTAAGCATACACAATCAAAAACCACACTAAAAGAAGGAAAAAAAAGTAATGATTGAAAATAACTGAAAACAGCCCCTTGGACAAGCGATGCGATCTGCATCCCTGATGGTCCTCAAACAAACAGATAAAGAAAGTAATAGAACTGGGTTTTCTCTTTAATACTAGAAATAAGCAGATGAGAAGAAACGAAAAGAAACAAATAAACGTTTACCACCATCCTCGTCTAACAAAGGTTCCGGGTCTGGTTCCGGGGCACTGACTTGTTTGTTTTTATCCCTTCCCTTCTCTGGTTTACCTTCCGCAACCTGACTGGGAGATGGCGCCGGCGGCCGCGGGCGTGGAACTATCTGTGGGACAAATGTCATGTCTTGCCTATGACACAACTCAGCAAAGTCGGACTGGAACAGCCCGGAGCAGTTGTATGGCTCTGAAACAAACATGAGTCCAATACTTTGTGATCCTGTTGCAGTCAAGATTGAAAAAATTAACTTGAGGACCAAACCTGTCACTAAGAGATTTCCTTCCCTCCTCCATTGTCATATGAGTAGACAATGGGAATGTTTTCATATATAGTATCCATAAGGAGAATTGAATCCAGGACTCAACGATTAGGCTATTTTTACTGCAAGCTGGACATAATACATCAGTAATAATGGATATGAATAACCTCTGATATATTATACCAAACACAAATTGGATTTGGTCCTGTTGTGAAGAGGCAATCAATGTTCTGCTTCTGTCTCAGAGATGCTTAAAACTAAAAGGACATGATTCGTCAAGCTCCAGGTCTGAAATCTAATTAAAGTTATCCATCAAGTTGCTAACCTGTCGAACAGTATTCAGTCAAAATTATCAAATTACAATAAACATATCTTGAAACTACTTATATTATCTTAAATTGATAAATATAAAACAATTAAAAAAAACATATCAATATAACCAGTAAACACAAAAGCACCTGTTTACTAATTTTGACCAACATAACAGCAAAAGGAAATTATCTTCAAATTTCTAATATAGAAAAGGAGGTGATTCTCAGGTCCACTTCTGAATTCTGATTAAAGACAATGATCAAGTTGTTAATATGTCCAACTTTCTTCTCCATATAAGGATATTATGTACCTCTTTCTACAAACCTTCATTGTTATCTTGATGTCAAGGAGAGCATCTCAAAATAAATTCAGGTTTTCCATAATACTGAACATGTGGAGTGTCAGTGTTAAGCAAAGGTAATGATACTATTGATAGCATGATCGGGTTTGAGAAGCTATGCTTAGCCCTAAATAACAATACTAAAATTATAACTTTCTGTCTGTCTGACCTATGTCAGTCACCAATTCTAAATCCTATTTACAGAGCCAAAAGGTATTGCTATTATTACAAACCTGGGGTTTTGTTGGAATCCTCGTCTTGGGCATCTTGACTTGATGATGACTGGTTCTTGTCTTTGCCTAAAGTCTTGTCACCCTTGCGACCCATTTTGATTCTTGCTGCGATGCTGAAATAATAAAAATCATGATAATAGTGGAATGAATCATTCTAACTCAATATAACAGTCTGTTTGACACAAAGTAAGGCGAAACCTGACACTTGCATAATAGTCAAAATTCCAAATCATCTCGGTTTCGTGTTTTGTGCCTTATGAGAATTTTGAAAACACTAGACACCAGACAACATGGGATATTTGATAACTTTTAATACTATGCAGCATACATCTGGCGACTGGTGGTGACATGTTGGCTATATCTGCTTGTCAATTGCCGTCGTTAATAACAGATCTGATTTCATGAAATGTAATGCCGAAATTCGAAAGGATGATGACATGATTAACTGCAATTTCTCAACAGATGGCCAACACTGTCTAGCCTGACATACACGAGAATATTATGCCGTCATCTGTCGAAAATATCATATGCATACAAACAAACATGACACACATAATATGAGGAAACTACTTCGTTCACTGCTTTCCTCCTCTTTCCATCTGCAACCATTTGTAAACAATCGTTCACCGAATTGCATTTACCGGAAGTAAGCGGAGTAGAAATAGTTCATCTATATTAATCCAGTGCTCCGCTTTTGGACTTGTACCAGAGACATCCATATCGTTCCAAAGATCAAAACAATGTACGATCATCCTTGAAGATAAACTGACATGTTAGAGAGCCATCTCAAAATAGAGATATTATTACTACGCCAAGTGATTAGCGAGCCTAGCAACTGAATAAGAGTGGTCTCCCTTGGCACACATTTCAAACACGGGCGCAGTCTTTTCTATGCCACGTTTCACGGTTTGGTTCGCGTTTTTTATATCTTAAACACAAAGGGAATCAGTGTGAATAAGAAAATGACTGAATAAATTAAAAGATTAACAGACACGTAAAATTAATGACGTATATGTAACAAGTGAGGGCTGCAACATATATAGACCTGTTCAAGTCTGCCAGGTCCATAGCTGAGGATGCTATTGATATTGTTATGATATTTCTTTAGTGTTATATATATCAATGAAAAATGGAGAAAAAAACATTTGTAAACTTTTGGTTTTTTTCTGCCCATATAACTAAGAATAAGGCCCTTGTGACATTTTGTCACGGCCCATTTGACTTTCACTACGGCCCATTTGACTTTTTCATCAACCTATACTTGGCACTTCTCGGCCCTTTTGCCCATTTAACTAGATTCCATGTAACAATGTAAAAATGATTTAGTTCCGAGTAGTAAATGTTCCGGTTCGGAATAAATGCCGTGAAATAGAGAATGGATGACACGAATAAAAAATCCGCACATACGGCAAATATTCCATCGAACAGGTACAAATACCATAGGCCTAATCTATTCCAGTCATTATTGAATGCAAAATGGACTCATCCAACTTGTCAACATCCGGGATGTCTACTAACTTCAACTTGGTTACATACTGACTGTAACCTGGCTACAGACTGAATGTAACTTAACATGTTGACTGTAATTTGATTACTAACTTAACTTGGTTACATGTTGACTGTAACCTGGATACTGACTGACTAATTAACTTGGTTACATGTTGACTGTAACCTGGATACTGACTGACTAATTAACTTGGTTACATGTTGACTGTAACCTGGATACTGACTGTAACTTGGTTACATGTTGACTGTAACATGGATACTAACTGTAACTTATTTACATGTTCACTAACCTGGCTACTGACTAACAGTAACTTGATTATATATTAACTGTAACTTTGCCACTGACTGTAACTTGCTTACATATTGACTGTAACCTGGATACTGACTGACTGTAACTTGGTTACATGTTTACTAACCTGGATACTGACTGTAACTTAAATTGGTTACATATTGACTCTAATCTGGCTACTGATTGTAACTTTGTTACATATTGACTGTAACCTGGCTACTGACTAACTGTAACTTGGTTGCATATTGACTGTAATCTGGCTACTGACTGTAACTGTGTTACATATTGACTGTAACCTGGCTACTGACTGTAACTTTGTTACATATTGACTGTAACCTGGCTACTGACTGTAACTTGGTTACATATTGACTGTAACCTGGCTACTGACTGTAACTTGGTTACATATTGACTGTAACCTGGCTACTGACTAACTGTAACTTGGTTGCATATTGACTGTTACCTGGCTACTGACTGTAACCTGGTTACATATTGACTGTAACCTGGCTACTGACTGACTGTAACTTGGTTACATATTGACTGTAACCTGGCTACTGACTGTAACCTGGTTACATATTGACTGTAATCTGATAAATGAAGGTAACTTGGTTACATATTGGCTGTAACCTGATTAATGAAGGTAACTTGGTTACATGTTGACTGTAACCTGTTTACTGACTGTAACTTTGTTACATATTGACTGTAACCTGGCTACTGACTGTAACTTGGTTACATATTGGCTGTAATCTGGCTACTGACTGTACCCTGGTTACATATTGGCTGTAATCTGGCTACTGACTGTAACCTGGTTACATATTGACTGTAACCTGGCTACTGACTGTAACATGGTTACATATTGACTGTAACCTGATTAATGAAGGTAACTTGGTTACATAATGACTGTGAACTCTTTTTAACACAAGATTCATTTAGAATCATCAGTTCGCATTCTGAGGAATCTATTTTCATAAAAAATGTAAGGAACTTTCACACATGATAATTGCTCCTTGATAGCCACATGATTTGTTCCATATGGAACAAATACCGTAGGAAAAATCCTATTTTATTTTCTGTTCCCCACGCGCCCCAATTTTTAGACCACCCCAACAAACAAAACCTTCTTTTAGACACTTTAGGATGTGTGTGAAAGTTCCTATTTACCCGGAATAAATTCTCTGTACACGGAACGAAATAATTGTTCCGCATGCACTATTACAGAAACAAATATTGGAATGAAAAGTTCCAACGGAACCTTTACTATGGGGAAACAAATCTTTTTTTACAACAATACACAATTATGTTCATAACTGACGCTCCAAGGATGTTACTGTGTATCTAGCTCGTTGAAAAATGTGAATTTGCAAAAGAATAATTCTGCTTTGCCTCCATCTAATAAAGTATAATTAGTTCCAAACAAAGCACCCATTTACCAAACATACCCAGAGTATAGTCCGACACTAACACATAGTTCCATACAAATATAAAGTCTTCGAATACGCCGCTTCGAGCAATATTCCAGCAACATCACGGCGGGGGACACCAGAAATGGGTTTCACACATTGTACCCATATGGGGAATCGATCGAACCCGCGTCGTCGATGTAACGAGCAAACGCTTTAACCAGAGGGCTATTCCAACGTCCCAAATTCGAATACATAGTCCCACACCACCTAAAACGCATTGTTCCACACAACAAATATAAAGTCCGACACTACAAATAAATCGTTCCACACAACAAATATAAAGTCCGACACTACAAACAAATCGTTCCACACAACAAATATAAAGTCCGACACTACAAACAAATCGTTCCACACAACAAATATAAAGTCCGACACTACAAATAAATCGTTCCACACAACAAATATAAAGTCCGACACTACAAACAAATCGTTCCACACAACAAATATAAAGTCCGACACTACAAACAAATCGTTCCACACAACAAATATAAAGTCCGACACTACAAATAAATCGTTCCACACAACAAATATAAAGTCCGACACTACAAACAAATCGTTCCACACAACAAATATAAAGTCCGACACTACAAATAAATCGTTCCACACAACAAATATAAAGTCCGACACTACAAATAAATCGTTCCACACAACAAATATAAAGTCCGACACAACGAATAAATCGTTCCACACAACAAATATAAAGTCCGACACTACAAACAAATCGTTCCACACAACAAATATAAAGTCCGACACAACGAATAAATTGTTCCACACAACAAATATAAAGTCCTACACAACGAATAAATCGTTCCACACAACAAATATAAGGTCCGACACTACAAATAAATCGTTCCACACAACAAATATAAAGTCCGACACTACAAACAAATCGTTCCACACAACAAATATAAAGTCCGACACAACGAATAAATTGTTCCACACAACAAATATAAAGTCCGACACAACGAATAAATCGTTCCACACATCAAATATAAAGTCCGACACTACAAATAAATTGTTCCACACAACAAATATAAAGTCCGACACTACAAATAAATCGTTCCACACAACAAATATAAAGTCCGACACTACAAACAAATCGTTCCACACAACAAATATAAAGTCCGACACTACAAACAAATCGTTCCACACAACAAATATAAAGTCCGACACTACAAACAAATCGTTCCACACAACAAATATAAGGTCCGACACTACAAACAAATCGTTCCACACAACAAATATAAAGTCCGACACTACAAATATATCGTTCCACACAACAAATATAAGGTCCGACACTACAAATAAATCGCTCCACACAACAAATATAAAGTCCGACACTACCAATAAATCGTTCCACACAACAAATATAAAGTCCGACACTACAAATAAATCGTTCCACACAACAAATATAAAGTCCGACACTACGAATAAATCCTTTCACACAACAAATATAAAGTCAGATCGACCTCACGAATATATAAACTCACGGGCGAAAGAAACGTCACCTCGCTTGCTTAACATGTCACAAAACAACAAACTCAGACATTGCAAATTTAACAATCATATGTGGAAAAGTAATGGATTTACAACATTCTGAATGATGAAAGTGTAAACTACAGACATGAATAATCAGTTATTGTACGATAAAAGATTAAAAAATCATTTTGTAGACGTTTCTTTCGCCCGTGAGTTTATACTCATGCCAATAATGGTTGTCACCACCTTCAATTTTTTTTATTGGGGTGGGGGTTTTAGGTGGGGGGTTGAGGGGGGTGACAACCATTATTGGCATGAGTATATATACGTGAGGTCGATCGGACTTTATATTTGTTGTGTGAAACAATATATTCGTAGT